CATTATAAACAATAGCTCTGATACCAATCTGTCACACCCCCAAACCGAAACGGCGTACACGTTCGGGGGTGCAAGACGTCATGAGTAGTATCATAACAATTGCATCATAGTAATCAAAGTAAACACAACCATTACATTGTATAAGTAGAATATTTACATCTGTTTGATACATAGTTTTTATACATAAAAAGTATAGCAAAAAATAAAAGACGTGACTTTAAACGCTCCGTCTTCTCAAAAGCTGCGGGGGTAGTTCTTTAGAAAATCCAATATTTTCTTAGTATTGAAAAGCAGTCTTAAACTCTAAGACCAGAGTGTATGTTCGTTACTGAATTTTGTAATTGTATATGAAAGGTCCCTGAATACTATTAGTAATGTAAAATAATGTATTGTATAAAAACCCTAGCTAACACCAGTAATGTATAATATGTTCTTTTATAAAAACCCTGGCTAACACCAGTAATGTATAGTATGTCCTTGTATGAAAACCATCGGTTACCACAAATAATGTATAGTATGTTCTTTTATGAAAACCCTGGCTAACACCAATAATGTATAGTATGTCCTTGTATGAAAAACCCTAGTTACCACCGGTATGTATAGTAGTTTCATTACTTAAAATAAAACCATGTATTTTCCATACTTATGTCATATAAACATTGTTCATGTAAAGTACATTACTACGTAAATATATCGTCGATATCTACTTGCGAGTTTTATGACCATACTAACTGATACAATGTGAATCGGATGCCAATATCCTTAATGACTCTGTCACCCGTAGACCTGCCGGTCCTACTGTAGCCAGGGGCGTAGATACCGATGGTATAGGTAGGTCCTAGGACCTACCTAAATTCTTAATTCCATTTACCATATATATAACAGAAAAATTAGGAACCACCTTAAGAAAAAATAAAAAACCTACCTTAAGTTTGTGTTTTAAAAAATGTCTTAAAAAACCATTTTAGAATGAAAAAAATATAAGTTACTAGGGCAATTTGTTATTTTAAATTATGAGATTGATAATAAAAAGCTTACAATTTTTAATCGGTACTCTTAAAATATAAATAAATAAATAAATAGTTTTAATAAAAAGAAGTCCACATGCCAAAGACTTTCACTCTCTGTTCGCCGCTTTATCAATAGACTAATAATTAACTGGTTTTTCGTTAAACGTTTTTTTCCAGTTATATTTCAATCGGTTTTTAATATTTTTAATCGATGTTGCCTAATTGATTTTAACTGATTGAACTGTTTAATTTTTTTAAGGTACATGACCCGACCCGACCACCAAAAGTGTTGATTTTTCTTATTAGCTTCACTTAATTTGGGAACCACGTGAATTTTTGTTCTATATTCGCCACTGACTGTAGCTACCAGCAAGGTGCGGGATAGTCAGTCACGTATAGATCTATACACAAACTCACGTTCTCCCTCTATGAGACTCTGGATCATAAAGGTAGTCTTCCACTAGTACATGTAATTGTACCAAAGACGTGTCTCTTAAACTAGATAAACGACTCTACACGTAATATTTTGAAAAACATTTTATATAAATAATGGATAAGTTTATAAAAAGATAAGTTTGTTCCTTAAACTATATTCTTATAATAGTTTATATGTCTGTATATAGAAAATTGTGTATTGAATTCCCAAACTATACCTATTATAGTTTGTATGTATGTTATGAGTTGATCTGAAAAACTATGTAACTACGCTTGTAAGTCGAAAACGTCCATTATGCTCAGCATAATACAAAATGGATAAAATATCTAACGATTTTATGAAATGTGGAAACCGTGTGATTGCATCCATTTAAAGTGTTTTGAAATTCTTTTGTATATATTCACAAATCATTTGTATTCTCCCCTTGAAAACATTAAAAATCATAAAAGTATAGGGGTATGAACTCACCGTTAGTTGCATGAAAGGCCGGACAACGAAGCTGGAAATGAAGACCATCGGGTTGATGTATGCGGCACTTAACGGGATCATAATAATAATTAAATACGTACATGTATTTTATTAGCGAAACCATTATTTATAGTGTTGGTAAAACACTTGCTTTTGGTTTATGATTGTTACCGGGACTTGATTGAATCGGAGAGAGCGGGTTTTTAGTCAAGTTCACCACTTAGGGAGGGTTTACGGCCGTGAATTGTTCTCGGCCGTGAACAGTCCCTTGAAGGGTTTACGGCCGTGAACGGAGTTCTTGAATGAAATATGAATTTTTGATGGGTGTACGTCCGTAAACAGTTTGCGGCCCTTAAAGGTTTGAAGATCTGAAGGGTGTACGACCGTAAACTCAAGAACATCAACACTTGGTTTTGATGAAAAACTGATGATTTGATGCTTCAAAACGAGTTCCAAGGCGGATAGAACGATAAATGAAGAGAAATTTTGTGTTTCCTTGTGTTTTCGGGTGATGATTTTTAGAGAGAGAAAGTGTGTTCGCGGTCAGAAAAGTTCAAATGATGGTAGAGATCACGTATATATAGGTGGTTCATGATCGGTGGTGGGGTCCACCAACCGTGAACTAGTTTACGCCGTGATCGAGTTTACGGTCGTGAACTAGTTTACGACCGTGATCGAGTTTACGGCCGTGAACACCAGGCTGGGAACTGTTGATTTGTTGAAGGAAACTCGGATTTTTCACGTGATTTTTGGTTCCGACTCATATATAAATTTAATTATATAAGAGTTAAATGATTATCTAAACCATAGAAATTAACGGAACGAATAAAAAAAGAATGCAAAAATTATTTAACGGAAAACGGCTAACTTTAACGGAGAAAGGTTTGGGTTGTCACACACACATACACACCCCATTAGGGTTTTCTGGACAGAGGAGATTGGTAAGGAGACCAACCAAGGGACTTAAGGTCTTTAAATATGATGCAACACCCTAAAAATTAGAGTTTCTCAATCAGCCTCCAATTCATCGTTCCCTTCACCAACTCGCCAAGTTGTTCATAAAAATGCGCATCCCAAAACCCTCCAACACACCGAGTTTCCTTTCATCAACTCGACGTGTTGGTCCCTAGGAAAGAGAATTTATTTCCATAATTATTATTCTAGATTTCGAGTGTTACAATTATCTTCATCTCAATTATGGTAAAAAATTAGTATGTTGTTGATTATATAAGCTTTCGTTTGTTAACTTAAAAAAATCTTATTTATTTTTATGCACGTGTCGATATAAATTTGAGGTTATTTATTTATTTATTTTTATCTTTTTCATGTAATTTTTTTTTACGTTTTGTTGCTTCTTTTATGTATGCTAATTACATATGAGTTTATTCACATATAATAGATAACCACATAATTATAAACATGAATTTTGTAAGTTGAATTTTGACAATTATATTGATAAAAGTTACGTTTCGACGTAAAAAAACACAAATTAAAAAAACAGGTACGTAAAAATAAGCACAAACATAAATTAATTACGTCGAAATGTAGACGAACTCGAATCTATATTGATACGCAAAAAAATATAAAAAAGTTGCGTTGAAATGTAGAAGAAATCGTATATAATATATATATATTTTAAAAAATAACGAACTTATATGTGACCCGAATGATATATAGGAATGTACATAAAATTAAGTACAAAAATGTTAAAAAAAAAACACGCCGAAACATTGAAACACAGACAAACTTGAATATAATATGTTTTTTTAAAATCAACAAACGAAAGTTATTATATGTGACATGTCTGATACGTAGGAAACGTACATAAAGTTAAACACAAATACGAAAAAAAAAAAAATACATGTAAACAAACTCAAATTTTAACCGACAAATTTATAAAAAAAAAACATATGTATTTAAAGAAAAAAATTGACAAAAAAAAGTTCTAAATTAAAATCAAAACGTTGACCACCTTAAATTATACAGACAAATATTTAAAAATAAACACGTAAAGAGTTATTTTTAGGTTAATGAACAGAAGTTATTAATAAAAATCAAATTATATATAATACGAGATTAAGCACAAAATTTTTAAAAATAAAGAGTAAAAGTAACATATTTCAAAGTTTAAAAAAATAAAGAAGTGTAAAACAAACTCATAAAAATAAAATAATGAAAAACTACATAAATGGTCCCTATGATTTAGATTTATCTATGGTTACATATTTAATCGCTGCTATTTGAAAAGATTAAAAATACATTCATACTAACAGATGAACAATAACAATTTGTCAGCAAAAAAAGATATTTATTTAATTTTTGAAAACCATAGAGATTGTGCCCGTCAATTTTGTTTTTAACAATGGCTGAATTTGTGACATTTAATAAACCACATGAAATTATTTTATAGTTTTGTTTATAAATTAGTGTTATTCACGAAAATCTAATTGTATAGACGTTTTCTCAAATTAAATATGTATTGTGTTTCAATTGGTGATCGGGATCCCATGATTTTAATCTGATATATGAACAATAAAGACATGCAAGATCTAATTCTGATTCTTGAGATGATTCCGGCATAAACGCGTTCGCTGAGACGATGTCGTGTTGCCAACAATGTATCGTCTATTTCCCAACAAACAAATTATCTTCTTTCACCAACAACATTTCCCCTTTATTTATTTTTTAAAGGTATACTAACATAACCATATATATTTTGAAAGATTGACGTGCTCAGCATCTAAGTTTTTAAGAATTTTTTTAGAGCTTTTCATTTTTCACCTTTTTAAACACGAATAAAAGAAAAGGCTTCGCTCATTGGCATGAGATTAAAGTTTTCATTTTAAACAAAAAAAAATTAATTCAAGTAACCTTTAACAAAAATTGCATATCTATTATAACAAAATTACTATATGGCCCTAAATAATATAACCTACGTCAGCTCAATTTCTTCTCACCCTAGTCACGTCATGTCTCTTTGTTTAAAACTCACGAATCATGTCTCTTTGCTAGCTTTTCATCTTCTTTATTCTAATTAACTCTCTTTATTTTTATTTTTATTTTTATTTTATATATTTTTTGGTATTCCACAAGTATAAAGAATTACAAAGTCAATTGTTCTCAATTGTGTTTTGCATTGGTTGACTATAATACATGCTGTAGGTGCATGACAAATCGATCCACATATATGGTCAAATTTTTTTTCCTACCTTAATGAATGGCTACTACTCATTCCTCATCATTTAATTTCCACGCTTATGTATTCTAACAACACAATATAAATGCAATGTACACTACATACTACCCTTAATTGTAACAAATACTCCATTTGCTACTCTTTATGATAAAACATGCATAGAAGAATGAGTTGTTTCGTCACATCTGGATGTCATGCTTCTAGTATAATACCAAGTACGTTGGGCACACAAAGTGCAACCTGCAACGTATTCCCCAAATTAGTTTTTCAATAAACTTTGTAATGCTAGACCTTTTATGTTGCCATTTTTTTTTATAGTACTTATCTTCAAATTTCATATTTTGTTCCAAAGATGACTTGAACCTTAGACTTTTGTTCCTTTGATTTATTTATTTTGTAAAGAAACGTAGTATCTAATTTGGAAGTATAGTTTAGACAATGAATTTATATGTTTCAATTTTAGCTTTTACATGGATACCTTTTTAAAGAATTTTTCATAATTCAAAACTTTTCAACTATCTTCGTCAAAAACTCGAATAAAAACAAAAGTTACAGTTTGCAACTTCCAACTAAAAATTACCAACTACCAATTTCCAAGAAAAAAAAATAGGGATTTGACAATATGTCGAGTATTTAAAATTGTATATTATTTTTACTGAAATAAATAAAAAATTATTGATCATATTGTTGTTGTTGTTGATGATGTTGATGATGATGCTATTATTGTTGTTGGTGTTGGTGTTGCAACTATTCATGGTGATGTTGTTCTTGTTCTATTATTATTACTTTATTTATAGAAAAATTCAAAAGAAACAAAAACTAGAATATTTTAAGAAAACACCAACTCTACTCTATTCCTATTTCCATCCAAAGTCCAAACCATAAAAATATATAGAAGTCGTTACTTGTTATTGTTACCTTTCTTTTTTGGTTATTGTTAACTAACTTCATTGAACAATTCATTTTTCCTCATCTAATATCATTGTTTAATTCAACAGATTTTTCTAATTCTTAATTTATCAACCGTAAGTTTTTATCTTTTATAACTTAAAAGTTGAGAATCAATATCATAAAATTATAACCAAGCTCACCTAAATAGCTCAAAATTTTCAAAAAAGTTTATCACCTAGATTTCATCTCATTTTAATTAAATACCCCAATCTTAAATATTGCTTTGCTTTTAGAGTAAATTACACGAATGGTCCCTATGGTTTGGGGTAATTTGTATGTTTGGTCCCTAACTTATTTTTTTAACTCGGAAGGTCCCTATAATTTGTTTTTGTTACGCACTTGGTCCCTACTGTTTGTTTTTGTTACACGCTTGATCCCTATCTTATCTAAAATAGTATTATTTAAATGAGAAAAAATGATGAGGTAAGTAAGATAAGATGAGAGGGGTGGAGTTAGGGGTGTGTTTATTTAAATAAATAAAAAAAATCAAAGGAAAATAGTCTTTTTAGGTAAGATAGGGACCAAGCGTGTAACAAAAACAAACAGTAGGGACCTTCCGAGTTAAAAAAATAAGTTAGGGACCAAACGTGCAAATTATCCTAAACCATAGGGACCATTCGTGTAATTTACTGTTGCTTTTATGTAAATCAAATTTTATTGAACCCGACTTAGGCTAAAATTTGTAAAAACAATTGTTTTTTTTTTATTTTTTCTTTATGGTGATCTTCATCTTCTTTTTCCCAAACCGCACATACATGCAATAGTGCTATATTAGTTTCTAGAAAATTACTTTAATTTGATATCATGTAAAACGCGTTTTTATTAAGTAATTAATTTCTTTTCACCGGATGAGGTATTCCTAGTAATCTATTATTACGTCACCACCATAAACCCGGATCACTTTTTTAAATATTTAATTTATTTTCTTCAATATTCAACCATCAAACTTTATCCACAAAAGTATGCACACGTAGTACGCTTGTTAATTACATAATGGTTTATAATATATTAAAATTAAAATAAGACTAAGACATATAAAATAAAACATGATTTAATGTCAATTATATATATATATATATATATATATATATATATATATATATATATATATATATATATTTCTTTAGAATTTTTCAACATGAACTATTTTCGACAAAGTTTTAATCGTCTTAAAAACATATTTCAAGTCTTAGTTTCTTTTAAACAGTGAAAGAGAGCATAAAACTTCATTGATTTATATGATTTTATAAATCAATAAATTTAAGTTTGTATTATTGCTTTTAATAATTGCATATAATTTCATTTTGTTGATATCTGTAACCATTATAAAATTGTTGATTTTACTAGTTTAGTTGTTAAAACTCATTAAAAAAAATTAAAGTTAGTTAAGCTGAAAAAACCAAAAGTTGGTTAGTATTTAATATTATTAGTTTACATGTTAAATCAATAGTCAAGCAACTCAACAAATTGAAACAAGTTAACATGTTGCCTTTTATATTTTTTAATATAAATGGAATAAAAAGAAAACTTGAATTTTAAAATCACTTAAAAAGTTTGATGTATAAGTGGTGCAAATGTGAAATTTGATTACTATCTAATGGTATCAACCCTAAATCTTATTATTTACATGGCATTTAGTTGTAAATATTAGAAATTTCATCCACCTATATAATTTTTTTTTAACACTGTACAAACTATAATATTTTTTCAGATATATCATCAACAAAGAGTGCATATTACATGATAATTGTTTATTTTTTTCAAGTAAATAAATGATACATGTATTCGTTTATGCTCGTTCGTTTATATTAAGTATGACAAAACTGCAAATTTGGTCATTGTGGTTTTCAAAAACCTTTGGATGGGATCCAAAAAGTTTCCAACTTGCATGGAAGGTCCAAAATCAAGGTTTTTCTAGGTTTTTGGTAAAAAAAAACTTAAAAAGACGATTATGCCCTTTTATTTTCTTTTTTGTATTTTTTATAACTATTCTAATGTTATTTTAATTAAAAAATAAAGAAAAAAGAAAAAGTATCCCCCACCCTACCCCCCCCCCCCTCTCTCTCTCTCTCTCTCTCTCTCTCTCTCTCTCTCCTGAACGCCATCTCTCAAAAGAAAATTGATATCTCAAAATTGAACCACCTGTGGATTCATTCTCGCCGCCACCGAAACCACCGGAGCCATCAATAACCCTACTTTCGGAATTGTAACTCCATCTTAATCGATGCATTTCATCTTCGTTATACCCCACTTCAGCCACCACTGCACATTTGCATTTCCGACACCCAAAACTCCAACTCTAATCTTCTCAACTTTCTTCCTGTCCCTTTCTCATCTCGATCTCCATCTGAAATGGGTGTTCGTTACAAAACGCGATCAAAGGTGCTCATCGAAGGTCGTGGGGACAATGTATGGCATAGATCTATGCCCTCAAACCTGCATCTGAGTGTATTGAGAGCTCCGACGACCAATGGTATTCAGTTCTCTCGCAAGGCGTTGCCGCCAGTGGTACAGAGAGAATAGATATGAGCTCGTTTTATCTATAAATTCGATCCACTTTAATTTCAAGCACCTTCTGAATCTCTCCTCTCTGATCGACGACCTCCGTATGAACTTTTGTTTCAGTTCAGATGGGGACTATAAATCAACACCCCGAGGTGGAGCCAACAAATTTTTGGTGGTTGTATTGACCAGTGGGATGGTGAGGTTTGATTTTGATTTGTTGTAGGTTTGATTTTGATTTCCACCTATGATATGATCAAGAAGAAGAAGTGGGTATCGTATTTTTTCTTTTTCCCAAACCTTCTTCAATGGACCGATAATTGATTTTGATCCAGTTGAAGAACGAATTACACTTCAGAACAATCTTAATTATACTTTATTTCCATATTAATTGTGAAGAAAGAGAAAGTTAGTGATACATAGAAACAAAGACGAGAGAGAGAGAGAGAGAGAGAGAGGGTGGGGTGGGGATATATTTTTTTTCTTTTTTCTTTATTTTTTAATTAAACAACATTAGAATAGTTATAAAAAATACAAAAAAGAAAATAAAAGGGTATAATCGTCTTTTTAAGTTTTTTTGGATTAAAAACCCAGAAAAACCTTGATTTTGGACATTCCATACAAGTTGGAAACTTTTTGAACCCAATCCAAAGGTTTTTGAAAACCACAATGACCAAATTTGCAGTTTTGTCTAAGTTATACTCATTTATGTTTGTTTAACATCTGAAGGAACGAACAAAATAATTTTTTATACGAACAAACAAAAAATAACTTTTTTTTCAATTCGTTTATGTTTTATATGTTCATGTTTTTGTTCATTCGTTTGTTCGGTTAATTTTAAAAGAATAAACATGAACATGCCGTTACTTGTGTTCGTTTTATACGTTTCTAATCCTAAGATAAACTATACAAATATAAATACAAAGGTAACATTTTTTTTACTTGTATCAAAACCTTTCTTGCAAAATCCAATCTCTTTTTACGGTTTTGTAACATGATAGTTTCTTTGTAATAAAAAAAATATTATAGGTAGAAAACTTCTATCAGATTATTAAAAAAATAAGTTAATTTAGGCTTTGTATTAGAAATACAATCGGTTGAATGAGTAAGAACAAATATAACACGGTTACGTTCAAACGAGTTAAAGGTCATTCAAATTTCAAAGTGTAATAATAAAAAAGCGATGTCGATGTCTCGGACAAAGAAGGGGCCAAACCTCATCTTCTTATCATGTATAATACATATAATATATTGTTTTCTTTTATACTCTGTAATGTAACTGTTTATACTAAAAACCCGAATATTAAAAATTATATTAATTTATATATAATTGGTCAAATGTGTAACTTGTTATCAAAAGTAAAAGTGTATTTAACATTAACAACCACTTATTAAAAAAAATATATATATTATTTTTTAAAATATGAGACCATTTAAAAAGTGAAGTAGACATGTCGACAAAGAAGGGGCCAATGTGTATGATGAAATTGGAGAATTTGAAGGGTTGTTGTACTGGTGGCAGAAATGGATGGTTGAGCATCTTCAATAATAAGAAATCATTTGTAGTAATCAGTTTAAAATTTAAACGTTACCTTCAATTTGGTTTTATTTGGATAACGACAATACAGCAGGCATTACACAATGCTATTATTTTAAACTCTTTTTTTTTTTTTTTTAATATTCAAATTGAAGTTTCATTTTTTGCCCAAATGTTGCACGCTTGATGTTACCTGTACGATATTATTGTAAAAGATATATGAAACGTTTATGATTAGTGTGTGGGGTCTTTTTCTATATGGCATGTGTTGTGTTTTTACGTATTAAAATATACCTGTGGATAGAAAAACGTATTAACTGAGAAGTGATCTTGCGAAATGTTCACGAGCGGCTACCAAGGCTTGAGTAATTGTCTGTAACCATTTGAAACAAACTTTTCATTAAGAGATCAAAAGGAATATATAATTTTTTTTATGGATAGGAAACTGTTACAACAAAACTTGCTTTCAAGTATAAATGATAAAGGAGCCTCTTTTAGCTTTTGAAAAAGGAATTTTCTACTGTTGTCTTTAACGACAGACATAAAAAAATGTCAATTATAATAAATATTACGATAATTAAATATAAAATTCATTATTAATTTAATAGTTAAATAGGTAATCTCCTCTATGATAGAATATCTATCATTGAAAATTATGAAATATGTTAATTATGGAGAATATTTCATAATTAATGTATTATATATTTAATTATGATAATACTTTTTTTTTAATTAATACATATTAAAAAATCCTTTAAAAAAAGTTCTGGTTAAATGATTATGATTTTTAAAGCAGTAATTACTTTGGAAAACATATATACGTTCCAAACACCATCTCAAGAGATGAATATTTAAAAAAAATGAAAATATACACTAAAATCCTTAACTTACTAAAAGAAAAAAAAAAAAAAAAAAAAAAAAAAAAAAAAAAAAAAACCGGTTCTGATATTAACATCGGTAGCTGACCAATCTTAATAGAAAAATAAGAAAAAAATGTGAGCTTTAGTTTAAAGTAGATTACAGCTTACATATGTCGTCGTTATGCTTAAATGAAAATTATGATCAGGTCCATGAAAGAAATGGTTTTCATTTTTGATCCTCATAGTTTCAATCTTTTTAATCAAGTCCTTCCCATTAATACCGTCAAAATAAAACTATTAAATATGAGTAAAATTACAGTGTTGCCCGTTATTTTGATATTTTTTTAATAATCTTTATTTTTATTTGGCCCGCCATCCCATCTCACCAAAGGATTTGACAAAATTACATAAATGGTCCTTCCTGTTTTCTAAATTTTCTTTTGTCCCAAATAATTTTCACAACGATGGTTAGTCCATGTTGGTTTTAATTTCTTTTGTGGTTGATGTATAATCCAAATAAAAATAATTTTATACACATTTTAATTTCTTTTATCTTTAAATTTTTGTTTAATTTTTATTAAAAGAAAAGAAAATTTTAAAATCCCACCAACATAGGAATTTAATTAATTTTTTTTTGATCAGATATGAAAAATCAATTGTTCTTGTGACGTTTGAGTTTGATATATTTCAGTTTAAATTTACTTTTTTTAGTGAGATACGCAACAAAACTCTAATTTTTAGTTGTCTTCGATCCTTATTTCTTTGTGTTTGATATGTTGTGTAATATTTGTATTTTTTTTTTAATGTATTTTACGTGTTAGATTTTTTGATCTGAAAGATGGAAATTTTGAAAAACATATGATTAAAATGGAAGTGAAAATGGTGTTGGTGGAAGGTGGAGATGGCAGTGTAAGGGACAGGAAGTAAAGAGAAGAAATGATGAGGTCGGTATAAGTGTAATGAAACTATAGAATATATAAAACCATAGGGCCATCTGTGTAACGAAAAAAAGTTAAGGACAAAATTTATGAATCTGAGAAACCGTAGGGACTATTTATGTAATTTTTGGCAAGGAACTTTTTTTCAAGAGCTGCCAAATAGAGACGACGAAAGGAAATTTAGAGCAACTTTCCAAGTGTTGTACCCATGTTCCACGATTATAAAGTGGAGATGAGATTAAAAAAAAAAAAAAAAGGATTTTAAGAGTAAACTTGTTGTACCCATGTTCCAATTACAACCACATGGAGCCACCAAAGACTTCTTGAGCTATGTAACTCAAGGAAACGTAAATAGGATATGACCGAGAAAGCTGAAAAACTGCACAATCAACCAAAAGACCTTACCAAACACCTTACACCCCGTTCCCGAGTTCAATTTAAGGAGAGAAAAGAAAGGAAATTGGAGGAAAATAAGAGAAATTGGTGTTCCCGAGTTTCATTAAAGGAGAGAAGTGGAAGGAAATGGAGGGATCACTTTCCCTCCTAACTTTCCTTCCGATTTGGAAGGATTTGAAGAGAAAGAACAAAATGTTTAACTTTCCTTCCATTTCTCTTCAACTCGGGAACACAAAAAAGACAAATTTCTTTTCTTTTCTCTTCTCTTCTTTTCTCTCCTTACTTTGTTTTCTCTTCTCTTCTTTTCTTTGCTGCAACTCAGGAACGGGGTGTTAACTTGTGAGGGATCAAAAAAAAAAAAAAAAATCTTTCAAGGACCCAATCGATAAGTTTCATATGAGCATAGAGACACTGTCTGTAATTTACTCTTTGGTTTATAAAAGAGAAAAAGACAAATATGTAGTTACTTTGATTCAAGATTTACTAAATAACCCAAAATTCTCCTTATGCGTCCAAATAGCCACCAATTTCGTAACAACTGATTGTGAAATGCACTATTAGTTGCGAGATAAGTCACCCTATTTAAAGCATTTTTTAGACTTCTTACTTTTACACCATTTTTTTTTTTTTTTTTTGAAAATCTCTCTCAAAGTAAAACTTTATTTCGTATCATAAAGCTTCTTTTTGCAGTGAAAATGGCTTTTGAAGATCATTATAGCAAAAGAACTTCGAACAAAATGCTTTTTTGATTAAAAAATTATGACTTTTGTAATAATATGAATGATTCGCATTACAAAGAACAATTTCCTAGTAAAGGATTTTTTAGATTTTAAAATTTTGTTGTGAGCCATAAAAAGGCGGCATAACATACATTTTGCAATGGCTGATTGTGAAATTGGTGGGAATTTTGAGTTATAACTTATAAGACAATTTTTGGGATATTTTGTAACAAATCTTTATGTCAAAGTGGCTAAATTTGTCTTTTTTCTCGTAACATAATTGATATATTTTGATTAGCATAAATAAAGATACAATAGTGGAATTAATTTGTATGCACCTGTTCAGACAAGGGAGTCTCATCATCCATGATGTTTGTAACTACTTTTCTGGCAATTGTATTTCCATCCGTTTCAAGAATCATTCTGTCACACAGTTTTTAGCAAGTCATCAAACATTTCATTATTTTGATACATATAAATGCCTACACACGTGTGTGAAGTTATGAATGAAATTGAAGAGAAGATTAACATGCACAAAACTATGATGATTATAAAGAATGCAAATAAAAAGAGGAAAGAAATATGATTAGTATAAACCCATGCTACCCTAAAAAAGAAAACAATTATGCCCATAATCTCATGCTACCCTAAACAATCTGAGACTCCATACATTGTCAAAAGGTCTTGTTTTTTAAGGTTGTGTTTGTTACACAAGACAGAAATGGACACGTTCTCTGGCCATTTATGATTTTAATGTTGAGAAGGGTATTAATGTCTTTTGCACATATGAGACACCAAGAGCGAGTCTCTGTCCCACCTTATTCTGCACACAGACATGTAAAAACTAAGGCCTAAGCTAATTTGAGGGCATTTTTTTTCTTATTAAGAACCAGGGTTGACTAGAACATGGACAAAAAAAGCAAGAAAATGAAACTAGAGTGACTGATTCAAATGCAAAATGTAGTTAGTTACCTACCCTCCATCAACAATCTCATCAAGGCATAAAAACATCATATCTAAGTTTTCAAATGCCTCCCTTTGGTCAATGTTACCCCTGCATCAAGAACTTAAGGAGATTACACCAGGAAATGGCAAACATTGATTATTGAATATCTGTAACAATGCAGAAACCTGAGTAGAAGAATAACTGCTTCAGAGAAACCCTGTAGGACAGTGGCCAAAGCCAATTCATTTTCATCATCACCACCAGTTACAAAAAACTGCAAGTCTTGTATGAACTTATACACCACAACATTATTCTCAAACATCAATATCTCTGCTGTTTATAAAGAGATAAAAAGGAGAAAAAAGTCAGTTTGATTTAATGTCGCTGAAAGCATCTTAATAGGCAAGAAATGTGAAAGATAAAAAGTTAAAAACCATACGTTCAGTTCGTGCATTAGTCTTCTGTGTTTTACTGAAGATGGACTTTTCAAAAGCTAACTTTTCACTGTTGGTTTCCCATTCATCTGTATAATACTTGACTGCTACACGCCTTCCTTCAGAGTCCAGAAGAAGGACATTCTTAATGATAGGGCATGCATCCTATAATACAACTCGATCAGAAACATTACATATATATGTCAATCAGTAGATGAAAATATGAAATAGTTCCAAAAATATTACACTACAGAAACCAATTAGTCAATAGCACCAAATTTAGTGGCATTGACAAGTATGAGGAGCCAATTTTCACCCCAAACTTCATTTCCTGAGGATCTAACTGGGATAAAAGCTGAGCCAGATTACTCTCACTATGAATATTCAGACTGAAACTGATCAAATGCAGCTAATTTTTTCCACATTTAACACTGTTACTACTATAAATTACAGCTTTAGCTGCTACATTATGAATAAAAATTGTTTGAAAGCCAACGGATGACTATAAATGCTCTAGAAACATTACATAAATATGTCAACCTAGGGATGCAATAATTTAGAGAATAATACAGCACAGGAACCAATATGTAGATGCCATTTCCACCTAAACTTCGTATGAGTGAGGATGTAATAGGGATAAAAAGTGAGCTGAATCCGAATCACCACTCACTTTGAACATTCAAACAGAAACAGATCAAACTTAAATAATTGGTGCGACATCAACCCTAAATTTCAACATCAATTGCTACATTGTGAATTATAATTGTTAAAAACCAGCATACGACTATAGATGCTGCGTATCGAACCTTCTAACACTGAAAGAAAGCCTATACATGCTCTAAGAAACATTGCATAAATACGCTTAAGATACGCAATCAAATAACAGAAGAAGTTGAGGACAGTTGATCTGTGCCATGTACGAGAAAAAAGGAGTGAGTAACTACATAATGCATGTCGTAGACACGTAAAGAACCGATCTAATGCGAACAATCATATCTCTAAAAGACCACGAAACAATCTCGTGTATGATTGCATAGCAATTACAAGGCCAATCTAGTCAGAAATTCATATCAAAGATCACATGTAACTTCAATAGATACAGAGAAAGAAATATACTCTACGTGCGAAGATCACCATTGATGAAGAGATTCGGTTAGCGGAGCACTGAAATGCAAAAGGCAAATGACGTTTTGCTACCAAGAAAAAAGACTTGAGTAAATCACATGAATGGTCCCTATAGTTTAGGGTAATTTGCACGTTTGGTCCCTAACTTATTTTTTTAACTCGGAAGGTCCCTACTGTTTGTTTTTGTTACGCGCTTGGTCCCTGTCGTACCTAAAAAAGACTATTTTGCCCTTGATTTTTTAATTTATTTAAATAAACACACCCCTAACCCCACCCCCTCGTCTTACCTTACCTACCCTACCATTTTTCTCTATTTAAGTAATAGTCTTTTTAGGTAAGATAGGGATCAAGTGTGTAACAAAAACAAACAATAGGGACCAAACACATAACAAAAACAAATAGTAGGGACCTTCCAAGTTAAAAAAATAAGTTAGGGACCAAATGTGTAAATTACTCCAAACCATAGGGACCATTCGTGTAATTTACTCAAAAGACTTTATATAGGTTGGCTTTTGGGCTACCAGGTTCTTTTTCGTCATTTAGTATAAATGGGCCCGGCTCTACAGAAAACATATTTGATAGAGCTGCACATTAGTGGTCTCGGGTCGTCTCGAAACAATCCAGTATTTTTTCCGATCCGTCCCGAATAGTCTTAGGCCTGGTCTTTTTACGGATCTGTCTTTTTCGGTCTGTCAGCCTTTCTTCGGTCTAGTTTTGCAGTCTTTCCTTGTGCATTTTTTGGTTGGATTTACGGGTTTTTTTGGTTCGGTTTCGAAAATTTTCGATTCTTTTGTTTCAGTTTCGAGTTTTTTCCATTAACAAAGTAGTAACATCCCGTTTAAAGTAGAATAATTAAATAATAAACCTGGGACCCCGATAATTAATTATTATTATTATTTTATATTATTATAGTCTAAAATCAAATAATAATTAGTGGGGTGTTGGTTTCGGGAAGCCAAATGACAAGAATTGAATCTCTGGGGGTTAAAGTGTAATGTCAGGATTTATTTTGAAAATGATTTCAGAATTCGGGATGTGTTTGGTATCATTCGGACTCAATTTGTAAGGATTTTTAAAAGACATGGACTAAAGGAGTAAATTTCAGACTTAAGTTGAAAAGACTCTTATGGGGAGGGACCAAACGTGTTAATATTCACATGCTTGATGGTGGACACGGGTTGAACCCGTCACCCTCATTTAGGTGTTGTTTGATTTTCTGAAGCAAAAATTCATGAAGTCTGCGGACCACCTCTGCAACATTCTGCAGTAGAAGAGGTGGACCAAACGGCTGCAGACTATAATAAGAAGCGTGTTTGTTTTTTTAACATCTGCATACTGCTGCAGATATTAAAAAATTAAAATAAACTAATTTTATAAACCGAAAATCGCTTTTTAATATGTAAAATTTAATAATGTATAACATTTCGGTAAAAATTAATGATATTTCAGTAAAAAGAAGAATGATATTTCAACAAAAAATAAAGATATTTTAGTAAAAAATAATGATATTTCATCAAGAAATTATCATTATTGAATATAAAAAAATGAAAAATAAATTCAGTAAGAATAAACGAAAAAAAAGGAAAAAAAATGTGAAATAAAATTTTAATAACATATAATCAAAATTTCAGCAATAAAAAAAGAAGAAGAAGAGGTTGGAAGAGGCAGTACAAGTGCTGCACCAAACAGAGCACGCGCAGAGGTTTTTGACTCAGAAGACTTCTAAAAAACAAACAGTTGCGAGATGAAAAGTGTTGCGCGTGTGCTGTGTCGCGCAGCAGTAAGAGGTTTGAAGAGGTTTTTCCAAAAAACAAACAACACCTTAGCCTATATATATATATATATATATATATATATATATATATATATATATATATATATATATATATAAAACCCATACAAACCCTAACCCTAACCCTAATAGAGATACTAGCTGCCACCACCACCCTCCTTCTTCAATTTCCGGCTGCCACCCTCCTTCTTCAACCTCTGACGCCACCACCATGCCGTTTCTGATTAGCGATGATGACAAGGACCCCCGAGTATCCGCCTTTCCGTTCGACTACCACCATCTTTTCGGAGTGCTCTCAACCACCACCTCTAAGCAACTGCTTGTACCACCATCTCTACTGTCCACCGGCGAAACCAAGGGCGGAACTAAACCCACCATAGGTGAGTGTTAGGTTCACCTTTCGAGCAAAGATGCATGCGTATGTCTCTTCTACTGTTGTGCATGTTGTTTATGGTGTTTTGATTGGCCGGAGTTCACGGAAAAGCCACCACCACCACCGTGAGGTGGTGGCTACCACCATCTACCACCGATGGCCACCACAAGGGTGGTTGTGTGTGTTTATCTTAGTGCGTGTGTGTATGTGTGTTTACTGGGGATTTTGTATTGTATGTTGTAATCGGTGTAGGAATAATCAAAAGAAACTTATAACCACCGTCGCGAGGTGGTGGTTGCCGCCTCCTGCTGCCACCAGCCGTCGTGTTGGGTGACGGTGTGTTTTGTATGTGTTTAGATTTCGTTGGGATGTTTGGACAAAAAAATGGACTAGAACCATAACCACCACTGTGAGCCGCCATTGACCACCACTACCCGAGGTGGTAGTTGGTGGTGCCCGACTTGTTTAACCCTAGTGGAACCAGTGAAGCCCTAATTGACCTAAAAGCCCAACATTTTGACTAATAGGCTAGTATGTGGGTTGGAAACCCTAATTAGGGTTTAGAAAACCCTAATGTCATGAAACCCTAATTTTGGGGATTTATCAGGACCCGCACGGGAATTATTTATTAAACTTAAGATATTAATTAATAATCACTTGTAATTAACCTAATGCAATATTGGACTTAATGGATTAAGTCATTAATGGGTTAAATAGGAACACTAAACCCTAATCGTCATTCCATGTGAAAACCATAATTTCACTTGGGTCTTGAGTTGGGCCGTCCTATGGGGCTTTGTTGATTGGACTATTGATGGGCTATCTAAGAACAAGTAAATGGACCAAAATATTTGGATGAGCTTTAAGATAAGGCCTATGTGAAGATCTTGGGCCCAATTTGGAAAATTGGGCCATAGGTGGGTCATAACTGGGCCTTGATGATTATGTGATTTTGGGTCGTGGGAACACCAAGAGTTTAGACTAAAATATATGGATGGGACTTAAGGAAATATCATGTGAAGGGTTGGGCCCAATTTGGAAAATTGGGCCATATGTTAGGCTGTGGTCCATTGGTTGACTATTGGGCCTTTGGAGTGTGAGTTAGACCTTGGGCTTAGAACCAAATTAATAATTGGATATTGTTTAATGTTGACAATTCGAGAATCTGTCAAGCAGTAGCTGGAGTTTTATCCACGGGACTTCGGCAGTGCCAGGTGAGTTCTCCTCACTATATCGACAAGGTCTAAGGCACCAATGTCGGCCCTTTGGATTGTTATCTTGGTTATAGTATGTTTTTATGATATGTGTGATATGTGCTTGTTTGTTGATTGATTATGTGTTGTGAGTATGTCGGCACATGTATGTGTATGTTTGGATTGAGGCGATCCTGCTTTGTACTGAAGGCAAACATACCCAGCGCGGTCCGGATAGACTAAAGGCCTGCGAGGCAGTCTAGTCATGCCAAAGGCCCGGCGAGCGGTCCGGATACTTTGTAGGCCTTGCGAGCCGATCCAGATGTGCCGAAGGCTCGGAGAGCGGTCCAGATAGGTTGAACGCCTGCGAGGCGGTCCAGTCAGGCTGAAGGCTCATTATGCATACTGTTTGTTAGGATTAGTGATCTGTTAGTTCTATATCCTAGTAGATAGGATGGTACTATGCTTATTGATTTGTTAGGTCTACATCCTGGTAGTTAGGATGGCGTTATGATTAGTGATCTTTTAGACCGGTTTGATTGTTATATATGCTAGCGTATGATAGTTATGTGCACATGTTTGTTTGATTGGGGGTTGGGTTGAGGCGCTCTTGCTTTGTGCTAAAGGTCAACATACCCAGGGTGGTCCGGATAAACTGAAGGCCCTGCAAAGGGGTTCAGTTAGGCCGAATGCCCGACGAGCGGTTTGGATAGGCTGTAGGCCTTGCGAGGCGGTCCAGACGTGCCAAAGGCTCAGAGAGCGGTCCAGATAGGCACAAGGCATGCGATGCGGTCCAGTCAAGCTGAAGGCTCATTATGCATGGCGTTGGTATTTTGGAGTAACTCATTATGCCTTCGAGCTTACATTTATCGATTATTGTTTCAGGTACTTCTGATGATCGCAGGAAGGCGAAGACGTGATCGTGCACCTCCTTATATTTTTTATGATTTGATTCTGGGATACTCTGACACTAAAACATTTTGAAAACAAGTTTTGTAATAATTATTGGTTTTGAAATGTTTTAAAAAGTTTAAATTGGCCATGATTTTTATGGGTGTTACTTGTGATTAACACCAAATGATAGATTAAAACTTATTAAAAATGATAATTTAAGTTTAATAAAAGAAAAAAATGAAATAAATTACATAATATGTAATTAAAAGTTGTGTAATTAACACAAAAATGATATTAATAAAGTTTGGCTACCTTTTTTTTTTAGACAACTCTTGAACCAGTCTCAGTCGGTCTCGGACTGATCTTGCATCGCTCTCAGAACGATTTGGTCTTTTTTGTGACCGGTCTAAAAAGTGTTCGGTCTTTTACGGACCGGTTCTCGACGGTCTCGGACCGGTCTTTTTTCGGTCCGGTCTTGTATAAACGTTTTCGGTCTTGGTCTTTTTTTGGGTCCGATCCAAGAACGATCTTTTTGTGTAGGTCTGCTTTGGGACATAACGTTACACTTCACATATATTGAACTCCTTAGAGGCATGGTGCCTTGACTCCATGACTGAGGGCTCCATGGCCTTCTTGCAATTGATTTTATTTTTTGTTTTATGAAATAGTGGCGAACCTTTTTCAAGTTTGAATCTCAGTCGGTCCTGGAACGGTCTTGTGTAGATTTCGGAACAATTTGGTCTTTTTTGTGACTGGTCTT